CCCGGCCGCCGCCCACCCCCGGCTGCGCTGGCGCGCGGACGTCCGCGCCCTGGAGAAGCTGCCGGTGCACATGGGCCTGGTGGTCACCGAGGAGGAGCCGGAGCCCAGCTTCTTGGACATCGCCAGCCTCGTGGTGTGGTGTATGGCCGCGGGGATCTCCTACATCAGCGTCTAAGACCACCAAGGAATTTTCAAAAGAAATAATTCCAGATTGATGGATGAAATTTTAAAACAGCAGCAGGAACTTCTGGGTCTGGATTGTTCCAAATACTCAACGGAGTTTGCAAATAGTAATGAAAAAGATGATCAAGTTTTAAATTGCCATTTGGTAGTGAAGGTGCTGTCCCCAGAAGATGGAAAAGCAGATACTGTGAGAGCTGCTCAAGACTTCTGCCAGTTTGTAGCCAAGCAGCGAAAGAGAGCCACAGATGGGGGTGTAGATATGTTAGACAGTTTACTTAGTTCAAATGGTTTCCCTGATCCTGATTTAGTATTGAAGTTTGGTCTTGTGGACAGCACATTAGCTTTTCTTCCCTGGCAAATCAGAGTGACTGAAATTGTCTCTTTGCCTTCCCACCTAAAATCAGCTATGAGGACTTTTTCTCTGCCCTTCGTCAGTATGCAGCCTGTGAACAGCGTCTGGGAAAGTAATGATCCCTGGTTGTGTAATTTGATTTCAGGCTTTTGGAAAAAAGGACTCAAGTGACTGATGTTTACAAAGCACCTATGAAACCCTGTATCCACCTAGTTCATATTCCTCATAATTTATCAACAAACACACACACACACACACACAAAAAGAAGAGTCTCCTGGTCTTTGGAGCTTAGGGTGACTTTGAACTATTATCCTCAGACCACAGCCTTCTGAGTAGCTAGGATTACAAGTGTGAACCACCGACACCTGACTTGGACATGGATTTCTTTAACTGGCTTCATCCTGTGCCATTATGGCATACTCTGCTAGGGAATTGTCATCTCTAAGCCTAACACACATGACTGCTTTTAGAAAAAGAAGAACTGGCATGGTTGTTCACGTATTTGTGTTTATTTTTACTGATCTCTGTTCTAGGTAGATGTTCATGTGCTATCTGAAATGCAGTATGTACATTCATTACATGCAAACATGTGCCTAGTGGTAATAGTAGACATTTACTACACATCTCTCTCTTTCTCTCTGGAGACACACTGCTGGACACATCATGGAGGAAAGATACTCGTGGACCAGGGACACTAGCCTTGGACTCTTATATGAGCAAAAAATTCTACTCTTATTTTCCAGACTATAATACATTCTTGGATCTACTTGTACCAACACATTAGCTTAACTGACCAACTATATCTACAGTTGCATTTATTTGAGTATAGAGTGTGTGTGTGCGCACACACGCGTGCACACACACACACACTTTAGCAGCCATCTTTAAAGGTGGTGCTTCTTTTTAAATTTTTTTATTTTATTTTTGTTTTTGGGGTCTGGTCATGGGCCTGAACTCTGGGCCTGGGC